ATTATTATTATTATTATTATTATTATTATTATTATTATTATTATTATTATTATTATTATTATTTGTTCATTTTTACTTTTATATAAGTTACCGTCCGAATGAATTTCAGGTGTGGTGCTATTCTCGAGCGCGGTGTACTTCGCTGAAGCCGGCTCAGAGAATTCCTTCTTCAAGTCCATCCCGGACGCATTCTGGTGGGCTGTTGTTACCATGACGACTGTGGGCTATGGTGACATGACGTATGATGTACTCAATTTCATTAAGACAAAATTAGACAGTTATTGAAATTTATTTTTTCCATATTTTTAATTTTATTCACTAATAGTTATTTGCATTTTTTTCTTAACATTTTAGTGCGATTTATTTAAAAAAAAAAAAAAAAAAAAAAAAAAAAAAAACAAAAATCGCATTAGACATATTAATATATTGTACATCGTAACACTTTATTCGTTCGTTCTTATAAACTAAAAATTTATTTATTATTATTATTTTTTTTTTTTAAATCGTTAGCTTGTCGTTAACATCGTGTAAGCTGTCACTAATTTCGAACTGCCGTAGATTATTAGTAATGACCTTACATATTTTATACATGTTTAATATGCACACACACATGTATATTTTTATTGATATATATATATATATATTGTGCGTGTATGTAATATACATGTATATAATATTCTTAACAAGCAAACACACGTCATACTTTAGACATGAATTTATCACATTTTTGCGATTTATTTATTATTTATATGTGTATTTTTATATACGTATACAGATCGTCTTTGGGAACTTTGGGAATATCTTATTATAATATTCTATTTTGAAAAATCTTTTGAAACTTTCTAGATATTCTAAGTTAAATCATATATACATATATGGTACACATATATCATTTAGTATTAGAAAACGTATCAATAGTTTTCTTGAAATCGGTATTATTATTAGTTTTTTTTTCGTTTTTAAACTAGAACAAGAAAATTCTTTGTTCGTTTTAAACTACTAAATATATACATAATTGATAATATTATAATAGTCGTCTTGTCACTGTACGCTCCATTAGGGTTCACCAAGATGTTCAGATCGAATCGTTTTAGTGAAACAGACCACAATAGTTTCGTTTATTCTCCGATCACAATTATCATAATATAGAGTAATAGAATTTTAGATGAAACATGATTGGTGTAGCTCGATCGGAGAATTTATCAAAAAATTAGATAGTATTGTGCAATGTTTGTTTTTTCTTTTAATTTATGTTTTTTTTTTTCTTTCCTTTGATTGTAGTAAAATGTTTACAAAAGGAAAGCTTAGAAAATTTGATTTACCACCACACGATTTTTTTTTTTGTTTTTGATACATTATTTTTTTTTCAATAATTTTTATAACTTTGATAGTTGATCAATAGTCGATTACAGACAATAATAATAATTATTATTATTATTATAGGCGGCTGTATAAACGTAACAGTTTACTAACACATAGTTACCATTTACACATAGCCTTAACAAAACTATATAATATATTACTTTTCCCGTTTTTATTTTATTATTATTTTTACTCTGTATATAATAATAACTATAGTCAATTTAGACATACATTTTGATTGTAATTTAGTTATAGCATGTAGTACATATTTAGTTGTGTTGCATGTGTGGTTCGATAAACCTCAACGTATTGTACATAATAACGTAATACGAGTGTTACATGTTCTTAATATCCATTTCATCGTTTGTGCATGTCATTTAGTGCAGTGAAACCGAAAACACCATATTATATTAATGGATACATATAATATAATAATAGCATACTATACACGACATGTGTATGGTTCACGTTTTGTTGTTTTAGTTTTTATTGTTTATTGCATGTATTGTACAATAATATTATTATTTATCGCATTTTACGATAATCATAAATGTATTCGAAAACAATCTAAAAGTTTTTTAACGACTCCTCGACGTTATGTTATTTCAATTTTACGGAATTCCTCGAGTGTTGTGTTTTGTTTTGATTGGTTTTTTTTTTTTTTTTTTTTTAATTTATCCTACGTTATTGCGAAATAACTATATTATCCTACTATAACTTTTTAATTCGGCTACCCGTTACGTATTTGGCTAACTTGTTTGCGAATGCTAACACGAAGACGTTTCGTATTATACTATAAACCGGTTGTTTGACAAAATAAAAAATATGGACTATTAAACCATAATATTGGTTTGACAATTATAAGATTGTGTGACAGTGAATGCATTTTTTGTAAGAACCGTTTTTACATATAAATATATTTACTGTGTTTGATGTGTACAAAAATATATAGTTGATTAAAAATAAAACAAAGAATTTTCTCAAACACTACATATGTATATACACATAATACATACGTGATTGCGTGTACAGAAAAAACAATTTATGTTTGTTTCGTAAAAAGCATGTGAATAGCTTTATAGATTTTTACATTTTTCGTTTTTACGAGTAGTTTACTGTAGTGTTTTCATCGAGTCCTTTTTTCATTTGTTTATCGTTATAGACACGTTATTATTACACATAGAAATATTATACGTAGAAAAAAACTAAAAAATAAAAAAAACCAAAAAAAAAAAAACGTTTATAACCACACGGAACACGTCGACATGTGATATATTCAAATGTGTTTCAGACCAGTGGGCGTGTGGGGGAAAATTGTCGGTTCGCTGTGTGCGATTGCCGGTGTGCTCACAATCGCACTGCCCGTGCCCGTCATCGTGTCCAACTTCAACTATTTCTATCACAGAGAAACTGACCAAGAAGACATGCAATCGCAAAACTTCAACCACGTCACCAGCTGCCCTTATCTTCCTGGTACTCTAGGTGAGTGTCCGTACGGCGGAGAGAGCGTCACTCCACTCGTTTCCCGTGAGCCACGCGCTCGTCCTGTTTTTGCGCACAAAATGTACGATTTTATTAACACCCCATAAGGTAATAACGTGACAAACACGTGTGCGTTTAATGATTTCGTGATATTTTTAAGCGACTTGGCCTAGATATTTAGCGGCAAAAGCGAGTCATCTCACGTACATGAAAAAAAAATAAAATAAATGTTCGCGAGAAAATACAAATTACGTGTGTAAAATGTTCTGGTCAGGATCGGGTAACACGCTCGGATTTTTTTCCCTAGTTTTTGGATCGTTATTTCGTCCTCAATTTTTTTTTTTTTTTTTTTATGAGAAAAATTATCGACTGTTGAGAAAACAACATTTCACGGTTCATATAACCTATCTGATCTGACCATGATATTTCAGCGGAGAAAAAAAAATATTAAGTACTTATCGGTCTCATACTCATTTTCAAATATTTCTCTAGGTGTATATCGAAATTTGAACGTATAAAATCACGTGTCTACTGCAGTAGCCCTTTTCCGCGTTACATTTACCGTGCACGATGGACATTGACGGGCGTATCGCATTAATCAACGCGATGGGTTTTCGATTAATATTTAAAACATGGAATTTTTAATTAACGTGCATATGACGCGTGTATCATGTGTTCATTGACTTACAAAAAGCAATGTTCCCGCGAATCGTAAGTATATGACGGTATCGTTGGGAATCAAGCAGGACGAAGCAAACGAGTATTTTCATCAAAACCATTTAAGAGTTGCTATTCCAACAACGGGGGATTGTATGGTGTGCGCTCTATGATATCGTTATTCGGTATCACTAGGATAGAAGAATAGTCTCTTTCGGTTTTTTTTATAATTTTGCCACACTACAAGTATGTCAACTGAAATACAATTATAAATTTTCACTTGAAATCGAACAATCCCAATCGTACCGTTTTATGTTGTATTGTTTCCCATATTGTCTGCTCAAAAAATGTATTAAGACCACCCGGTGAGTCGAAGCGATGTACGTGTTAACGGTGTAATTTTATCCGTAGACTCTAGACAGCTACTGTTGCATTCATTAAATACTGCTGCATGGCAATAGAAGCGACGGTTCAAAGCAAACGAATGATTACTTTTACATGTGTATAACCGATGCACTCCCCCTCGCAGGTCAACACATGGTGAAATATCCATCGGGCGGCGACTCGACGTCGGATCTGATGGACCTGGAATCTGCCGACAATTGTCTGCTGGACACGGAGCTGGACGAACCACCCTTGTCGTTGCCGCCGCCGCAGCAGCCTAAAAAGTTTAACAGCTGCGCCACCGTGGTCAGGCTCAACAACAACAGCATCAAGAGGTTCAGTGTCGAAACTGACGTCTGACTAGCAGGTGCAGTATTTCTTGTCACCAGAGGTTCTAGGTTTCTTTTACCTTGTTATCGTGTATGCATTAAAAACCACTGTCCTCACGTGTGCTGCTGGTTCGGTTAAAAACGTGGCGGAGGTAAAGGATAAAAGAAACTCGGTTGGGATTTTTTTTTTTTAAAAATAAAAAACAAATTATTCAGGGATTAAAAATGTTGTCTGCTCAGAACGCGACGAGAGAACCGTTCGCGATCACGGTGATCGATGTGTATCTGAAACGGGAGGGTTTTAAATAAGCAAATCTTACATTTTTTCTACAATTCGAACACAAATTTTATAGGTACACGTGTTACATGATTTGGTTTAATATTTGGTTCGACATGAAAGAAATCGTATCGTTAAGAAAAAGCAAAAAAAAAAAAACACGAATCCTAATGCAGGTTTAGATTCAAGAGCGGTAACTCGCCTGCAATACGTATAGAACCCGATGCGTTGCCCGTATGATGGATTAGTCAGTAATGAAGGATACGCAAAAAAAGTTAAAACAAAACCTGACCGTTCCGTCTGTTGTAACCCGTCAAGACTTGACGCGCGGCACTGGGTGTGGTGTATACGTGTTCAAAAAATACTGGTACATGTATATACACACTGTATCGTTATGCCGCCAACGGTGGTGGTATTGTGTCACGTCGGCTTCAAGTCAAACTCCGAACGGCAGCGGCGGGCAGCGGTAGAGGGGATCCGCAATATAATGGTTTTCCGTCCCGCGGACAAATATCCGATCTGAGATTCTCGTTTTTCTCCTCGGACGTGTTTGTAAGCTAACTGCAGTCGTTGCGAAACAAGCCAATCGAGTGATTTCCGTATCGGGGCGTCTAAAAGTGTACGCAACGTTCACCGTAGGAACCAATTAAAAGTTTTCCATTGTTAGATGCATTTCATATAGGAACCTCCGCCTAACGTAATGTATTCGTACACTTATATTCATACTAACACACAGACACGTACTTTGATATTCTTTTTACGTGCATCTGTTAAAACGGAAACAAACGTTTCTCGAACGTATGCTCTGCGATGAAGAAACATTATAGTGTTACGTATTATTCGCGATTCGGTTTATTAGCATAACGCAACAAATTATAATATGTGTCCTGCAGTAGTCCTTCGCGTGCTTCAATCGAAATATGCGGATCTCGTATTGTTAAAACTAACGATGATACTACAACTAAACTCCAAACGTTTGTTCAATATGTCATGGCAATGTTTAGCGATGAGTATTGCTTATCATTCGACTTGAATCGAAATAATATTACCAAAACCGATTAAAGGTACCTACAAAAAAAAAAAAAAAAAAAAATGAAAAACTTATGATATGATGTATACTGAATTACATATCGAATAAGGAAAACCGTAATATATTGTACTGAAAATTATATACTATTGTATCGGTGTTGTAAGGATCGTAGAAAATGTATTTGTATTTATTATAATATAATATTATTGTAATATTTAACCTATAGATGTGTTCTTTATTTTAGTATTCAAATTGCAATCCGGCGGCCGTCCAGGTCTCCAAACGCCTTTAAGGTGCTGTGCTGTGATAGCTAAGATGTTTCCTTCGTTAAGTTACCTCCGACAAGTTTAATTATAATATTTTTTTAAGCGAATAATAACGATATTAAAAATTGTACTCAAAATGTCTCTCCTTTGAGGGGATAATTTTCTAACTGAGCCAATATAATATACAATTTATTATTATGATCCATAATCGTTAAAAAAAAAAAAAAATATGGATCGTCTCAAATTGTTTTATTTCAAATTGTTCGAGTTATAATATTATACCAATAAGCCTTATTTGACTGGATTAAAAATAACTAATACATATTTAATTTATTTTGTTTTGAAAAATCAAATAAAAAAAAATTTAAAGAAGCGTTGGAGATGAAAGCTATTACATTTTTTTTTTTTTTTAATATTTTATTATAAATATATAAGAGTATATATATTTAAAATATATTATGTGTAACAAATCTGTACCTATTCTCGCAAGCGTCTTGATATTTTTGATCGCCTGTAGTGTCTTATAATTAGTCGCAAGTCTTCCATGTCATAATAGTTAATAATTATATTATAACGTCCTATTTGACCTTAAATTATATATTTTATCGTTGTGTACATATAAAAATTGATAGATTCAGATTAACAATAAAACAAACTTGAAAAATGCTTCACAATTAAATGTTTAACGTAAACTTTCCGTAATCGTAATGCAATCGCATTCAAACTATGTTGGTTTTTGCTTGAAACGATGTAAGATTTAGCGATCAAAGTAAAATATAAAATAAGTATATAAATATACGTATTAATATATATGTATATTTATTTATTTATTAATTAAATTGCCTACAATGAGCATTACTAGGGACCAAAATAATAGGACGCTTTTATGGACAGATTTGCATTATTATAATAATCATTATTATTATTATTATTATTATTATTATTATTATTATTATTATTAT